GTAGTTTTTTTGATGGAATTTTTAGGGTCTTCTATGTACAATATCATATCATCTACGAATAATGACATCTTCTTTTTCAATTTGGATGCCTTGCATATTTTCTTAAATGGATTTTCTGATCTAATATTTTACTGGAATTCATCCTTCTTGATTGAAGTCTTATAATAAATAATGCATCTTTTGTCAATCCTCCAACTACAAAGGTTAGTGAGAAAAAAAATAGGAGAATACATTATTTTCTTTAGTCCAGTTTCTGAATTTATAGAGAAAGCACCCACTGAAAAACAATGCTATTTAAAACTCTCTTTGACATTTCCAATGGGGTAGCTAAACACAGAGAGAAAAAGTGGAACAAAACCATATTGCCTGTTTAATTAGGACGAAAGAAATGAAATAAAAACAGCAGCAACTTGATGATTGTCATATGGTTCAGAACATGACTGGTTTGGGAAAAATGTTAATTCAGGGCTCAAAGATGGATAAATGGAACAACATAGTACAACTTGGGTTTCTCATATCTGTTTCTCATCTTTTTTGAGATGCATGTGTGTAGAGTTCATGATGCTGTCCAAGATATTTTGGCAAACAGCATTGAGGAATATAAGTGTTGACTACTTGGGTGATAGTTGCCAGATCTAGCTACATGTATAGAGTGATAGGAAATTGGAACAGAAATCAGACTGGCAGACTCACATTTGCCACTAATGTAAGCCTTTTGTAAGTGTTGAATTATTCAATTTAGCATTTCTTCAACCCATAATAACTTTGTTGTTCTGTTTTTTTTTCTAAGAGATCATACATTTTATTCCTGCCACTAATTAACTCCATGACCATGTACAAATCACTTAAGCTTTCTGAGTTTTTATATTCTTATTTGCAAAGTGAACAAAGGTGGCATTAGGTAATTTCTAAACTCTCTTCCAACACTGACAATCTATGATACTGTTGAAAAAAGATGTATCTTGAAGATTAAGGAAAGAATCAATTCATACATTTTACTCAATGAAGAAGTATTATTTAAATATATGATATAAAACGAAGTCACATGAGAGAGCAACTTGTAACTTAAGAAAATCAATCAGAAATTTGAATAGGTTCAGTTAGAGATCTCTTCAGCAAGAAATCATGCCCAGCAACAAGAACCAAGAGAATGCCAACAGAATTTAGATTCCTCAGTCCCAATTTTATTATATAGATTAGCACTTTTTTATGTACTTTCTGGCAAGAGGCATATTTTATAGGTAAGTTTTATATTTCTAAAGATGGGGAAATGCTGACTTGATATCTTAGGGCAACAAAAAGTACAGCTACAATTGTTGAGACCCCGGTGGTAAGGGAAATGTTGCAGTTCAGTTGTTTTCTTCATCCTTTTAGAGATCTCACAAACATGAATTCTCACATAATTAGCCGCAAACATTTATGAGTGTGAAATGACCAGGGGCTATTAAAAACTACAAAGACGGGCAGTTGTGGAGTAGAGGGATAGAAGGGATACATGAGATAATACTTTCAACAATAAAGGTCAATTTAAAAGAATAAAAAAAAAACTACTAGGACAGCTAGAACAGAACTCTTTGGGGCAAATTGAGACCTACCATCTCCCTATTGGCTTGTGTTTCAATTCTTGTTTTATAAAGATGCTTACTTTAAATATTGTTTCATTATAACTTATTTTAGATTCATCTCAATTACCATTTGCTCTGACTTATTCTTTAAATTGGGTTTTAAATGAAATCCCATCATTAATTAGCTATGTAACTTATTAACTTATAAGTTACTATGTAACTTATTAAGATATTTTAAAAGGAATTTCTTTGAATCTTAGTTTCATCTATGAGAGAATAGATGGAGCCTAGTTTATATTCTCAGAAAATAAAAGTGCCTTAAATAGAGAGAGAACAGTTCTCTATTTATCAAGCCCTCAAGGATAGTTGAGAGAGCAGATATGAGAGTATTATAAATGTCTTTTTTATCTTTTCAGTCTCACAGTCTGTTGTACAGTTCTTTTTTATTTTATTATATACAATGTCCATATTGGTAAGAGGATATTTCTTCTACATTGTTCTGATTATTTAGGTGCTATCTTCTACTAATGTTCCCTACTAAGGACCTACCTGGATCTTTCTAGGTATGGTGGCAGTTTTGAGTTTTGGAAAACTCTGCAGGGTTTACAGGCATGGTTTTTTGTGCCTTGCAAATCAAAATCTTTGTTTCTCTTTCAAGAAACTTTCAATTATTTCCTCTTTTTGAAACTCTCTGATCACAGGACTTCTATAACACTGCAATATCTTCATTCTCCATGCTGTCTCTAATGGTGCTTTTCTCCTCTTCCTCCTCCCTTTTCTCTTCCTTCTCATCCTCTTTCTTCTTGGATTTGTGCTCCTCTGGCCAACCTTTAATCCTTAGTATCTGACAGAGTCCACTTTAGCTTTTTACTCTTTCTACCTGCATTCCCTCCATGCGTGGCTTCATTCATCTACTGTCATGTTTTCAAGGAACACCTCTCAAATCTGTACATCTCTAGCCTATAACATTCCTGTTTAATAAGGTGGGGAGAGGGAACAAATGGGCAGTAGAATACTGGCTTCTCTGTGCAGATGGAGGCAGGGAATGTAATGGACCATGGCATGCTAACGGTTGCTGACTAAGCACATATGTATGTGTGTTTGAATATGACATTACACTCTTTGCTTTACTGGTCAATTAATATTTTATATTGTTTTGTAAGAGACGTTTTTATGTGAATGTACCCTTTCACGGCAGGTGATTGCATCCCTTCTTTAAAAAAAAGGAAAATAAAAACCCTGAACTTGGAGCCCTTTCAGCCATAACTATAATGCAAGTGTTTTGTTTTTTAAAACAGCCCTCCTGGGTTTTCTGAAAAGAAAAATATTGGACTCCGTACCCTGCTTTCTTTCTTGTGATTGTGGTTAGAATTTATGTACTTTGTAGTTTATATATCAGCAACAGCTGGATGCTGAAGCTCCAAGGAAAACTTCTCTCAAAATAGTTCTGTTGCAAAGAGAAAATGGCATTCATGAACTTTGGCAGGAACTGTACTCTTGAGCTATGTTCAGTTTTGAAACTTGAAAAACCCACCGCATGGAGAAGCCAGCCACACAGGATCCTGGGCTGGTCTATTGTTACAAGAGGAAAGTGGTGTCAACAACGCACAGAGCTCCTGAGACCTCTGAGGAATTGTGCACAATGTGTCTGTCCAGCAGGGTGTGCAGGCCAGGCCCACTTAGATGGGGACCTTACCACAGAACCACACAAGAGCTCAGGAAGAGGCAAAGCAGGAAACCCGTTACTCTGCAAAGCGTCTTTCCATGACCCGAGTTTGGCTCTGCATTAGCTGAGTTAGAAGACAGCTTCACAGATCTTCAAAAATGACTTTGTTTTACTCATTAAACCATAACATTCATATAATTTTGGAGTCCTTTATAATTGAGGTGGAAGATCCAGCCATGGTCAGGTCTCCAGGGCAGTGCCCTATTATCCCAGTCCCCTTACCTTTCAAGTCGGTGTTTCTGTGTTCTCAGTAATGCCATGGGGTAGGAGGGTCTCATTCTGCTTGGCCCTGTCAGCTGACCACATCTGAATCATAGTAGCTGATTTAAAGTCTTAAACCCCAGTAGCAATCACTGTTGTTAAACGAATAGCTGGCCTCATCAGTACTTATTGCATGATAATTAAGTTGCCCCAAAACAACTCGTCAGTCTTCTATCTTCCTATCCAGCTGCTTCTGTAGTATGTGAGGCTGTCCCAGCCTGCCATGGCTAGGACCCCTCTGTCATGATCCACACTGCTAGCGATCTGGATGCAGTAAGGAAGAGCCCCTAAGGTATGTGGGTGCTGCTCATGGGCCAGAAACCCTCCCATAGAAGCCAGAGCCGTCTCTGAAAACCTTATGCAAAGCCTTCCGGCAACACTTTCTGTGAGAAACTAAAAGAGGTACTCAGCACAGTGGCTCAGGATTAATAGGACACTGTTGCTTTAGGGGTGCTGGACAGGAGGAATTCTGGAGTCCCCTCTCTCATGGCATCTGGCATTTTGTAGTTCTTTTCTTTCACTCAATTCATTGCCAACTGAGGCAGCTCTCTGCCCCTTCTCTTTACCTCCTGGAGATTGTTGTTTTTTGTGTTTTTTTGTTTTGTTTTTGTCTCTTGGTCTGAATTGGAACTACCCTCAGTCACTGTGATAGATCTCCTCAGGTCCAATCACCAGGAAGAAGAAGTCAGGAAGTTTATCTGCGATCCTCCTTCCTGGTTGAAAATGTCTCCTTTTCCTTCTTTGAACTTCTCATAGCAAGAGGACTGCTGATTCCATGTCAGACTGAAGGCCCTGCCTCATCATTTCTCCCAGGAAGAGCTAACAAGTAGCCACTCAGGGGTTCAAAGTGGCCAATCTCTATAGACAACCGGAAGCTTCTCCTGGCTGAGCGGGAGCAGAATATATGAAATCATTTAACTATAGGGCACAAAGCTATACATAAAAGTGTTTTATTATGCTACTGAGACATAAAAGGGTGATTAGATCCGGATATTCCTTTATACTGAAGTAGTATTATGGTCTACTGAGAAGTATTAATCCCTCTTTTTCTGGTAAGTCTAAAAATGGAACAAAATTTTATCTGGGATAGTTTTAATAGGGTTCTCTCACAGGGCAAGTGAATGGATGACATCGAAGCTTCTGGTTTCTTATAATCAAGTGTCATGCTTGCTTTTTAAAGACTGGCTGTTGTTTGGGCTTGGGTTTTGAATCAGAACATTTGGTTATATGAGCTCACAAGATTTGGATTCTGCTACCTTATTTGGTCAGAGAAAATATTGGCATATAAATGAATCCTCCATAAATTTGTGGGAAAATGTTAACTTCTGCACCACTAATTACTCCTTATTTTATGAGATTCTGATCACCAAAATCAATTGCTAGCAAGGAATCTCATGCATTGTAAGACTTTAGTCATGTTTAATTTATTGTTTGCTTTTATTTTTCAGCCTCCACCTCAGATATATGACAAACAGTTGGATGAAAGAGAACATACCATTGAAGAATGGAAAGGTGACTCTACTACTTAAATAAACTATACATTTTACTTATTGAAACCCCAAAATATTCTCAAGCCTTTTTCTTTTAAAACAATTTAGGAAGAGAGAGTTTTCTAATTACTACCCTCTTATACCATTTTCAAAGCTTCTAAAACTAGATCTGCCTTATCATATTACTAGTAATACTCCATTTACTCAAGAATGAAAGGAATTAAATACTGACACTTTTTAAAACAGTACTGATTATTAAGGTATTTGCCATGGTGGAGGGCAACCTTCAGTTTAACATTGCACAATTTTTTGTCCATAAATTTATACATAATGGATAAAATCATGTATGAGATGATTTAGACATTAAAAAATAAAAGATAGTTAATATATGAATTCATTCATTTGATATGTAGTACTTGAGAATTTAAATAAAAAATACACTAAGTAGCTTATTTTCTTTAAAGTTAGAAAGAATAAATGAATGAATGCATTAATTCATTTTTTCCCAAACACACTGTATGATCGAGATTATACTTACACAGAAACTATAAAAAGTAGTTAAACTAATATAACTAATTACAGAGTAGAATAAATATGACAAAACCAAATACAGATTAAATGAGATCAAAATTAGGAGGAACATAAATGGAAGATCTAAATGGAAGAAATATTTGTGCCACATTAAATAAATTAATTCTTATAATTTATAATTAGGAAAATGAAAGAAAACACAGAGGAAAATTCTAGAAAGGGGACATAAGAGGAAAACAAAGTGTAGATATGAGAAAGAGGTATCATAAAGATAGTAAAGAGACTCCAGTGGTCAACAGATCATGTTGAAGAATATGGAAAATGAGCATCCTCCTTCCTATATGTGCTATTGCAAGAAAATGTAGAATACAAACAGTGAATCAAATAAAAAAAAGATATTAAATTATGGATGGAAAAGACTTAATTTTATCTAAATAAGGACCAAGAAGGCACTCTTAGGGGGTTGTGTTGAGTAAGTGAAAAGATATAAATATCACTTAAGAAGACAGACATTGGCTAAAATGTGAGAAGTAAATATCTGCAAATGTATAAAAGCTGTAAGCCATGTTAAAGAAGGTCTGAGTAGTGCTGAGTGATTGCTAGTTAGAAGGGGCAAAGTAAAACAAAATGAAAATATACAAGTTTTACTCTAATTTAAAAAAGCCAAAAATAGATGCCAGTTTGGGAATAAATGTAATAATTATTTAATGGTGGGGCTTAGGCAAGTTTGGTTTGAAAATTCTAAGAGTTGATTCTGGAAAAAAAGGGGAAGTAAGAGTTAAAAAAATTGATAGAAACTAATGGTTTGAAGTCATGAGAATGTTATTTATACATAAATATAGTGATTTATTTACAAGGATAGCACATCACCCCTTAAAAAGAGAGTAGAAAAGAAAAATGAATGTTCACAACTGAAACATTAAAATCCTTAAGACATAAGTTAGAATGTGTTTGGAGTCCCCCAAAGAATTCAGAAAACAATTAAAATGTGTATTCCTCATACATTTATTTGGCCAAATGCTTTATTGAGCAACTACTCTTACCAGGTCTGTACTATTGTAATAAAATGTAGGATCAGAGGAGTAAAGGACTCCCAATTGTGTTCTAATTTACTCAGGCCCATCAGAATGTTATTTGTCATTAAATAAGGAGTTTTCTTTGTGGACTAGGAAGAAACTTATTTTTTAATAACACTGGTAATTGTTTCTTACAGAACTTATCTATAAAGAAGTAATGAATTCAGAAGAAAAGACTAAAAATGGTGTCGTAAAAGGACAACCTTCTCCTTCAGGTACTCACTCTCAGTGAATAACCAATAAACCAACACTTGTGTATTTCTCTTGGCCTTGAACAAGAATTGCGACCAACAATATTGCTTATAGCGCTTATGAACAAGTATCACGTGACTGTTGTCCTCTAACAAATTTAGTTGTACTTCCCCACCTTTTGTTAGCTAGAAGAGGCAAAATAAAAACATACAAGTTTAACTTCAGTAATGATAAGCCAAAAATGAATGCCAGTTTGGGAATAAATGTAATAATTTTTTTAGTGTTGGTTTTTAGGAAAGTTTGGTTTTACAGATTCAAGAGTTGAATCTAGTAAAAAGATGAAGAGTGGACACATTTATGAGAAAAAATAGTTTTAAGTTCAGTGTGGCATTCTGACTATTCAAATTATGAAGACCCAGCACAGGAGTTCTTTTAGAACTTATTTTAAGATAATGAGTCTTGAAGAAATGTTAACATGGGCTGCTTCAAAGGTAACTGCTACTCATCCAGACACAGAGCTGTGACGCTCTGACCACCAAGACAATTGAGGGGTTAAGAAACCCTGTAGCCCAAATCTCTTTCCTCATTCACTCCAGTGTTGAACTCTTCACAGGGTTGGTGTGACGGTAGTGGAAGCATCAACCAAGTTGGGCACCAATTAATGTCAGCATGGAAAACCTTTCAGTTTGTGATATGCAGATTTGTGCATATACATATGTTGCTATGTAATGTTCTTTAGGATTACTTGAGATAATTTACTTACACTTACTAAGGCTAATATATTTTTTCTAAGATCTATGTTCTGAATATAGAGAGAATATAAAAAGAGTTCTAGAAAATGTAATGGCTGCCCTGGCCGGTGTGATTCAGTGGTTGCATGTTATCCTGTGCATCAAGAATTTGCTAGTTTGATTCCTAGTTGGGGCACTGGCCCAGGTTGCATGTCCCCTTCTGGGGACATGCAGGAGGCATCCTATCCATGTTCTCTATCTATCCCTCTTCCTTCCTCTCTCTCTAAAAAATCAATAAAAACATAAAAAAAGAAAATATATGGTTTATACTCTGCTCATGCTGGGAAGAATGTAGGCTGCAAATGATTAGTTTTTAAAAAAAAAATAGATTTAGTTTTCTACCTTTGATAACCAATTTCTCCCTATGATTTTTCAGTTGTTTCAGGGAGAAAAATAGATGTAATATGAATTAATAAATGTGTCATATTGTTCTACTCTGAACAAGTTTGTATCTATAACCATTAGGCTGCCTAAATAGATGCATTTCAGTTATGATGTGCTTTTTTCACCTCTAGACTGGAAGAAATGTCAAATTGTATTCCAAATCTCTCCTTTCCTCAAAGAGGGTTAATGGAATCATTGGGGTTGTGTGCCCACCTTAATCATTGTTCCAGCATCCAGATTGCTACAAGCCTGGAGAAGTTGCTTTTAATTTACCTGCATGTTCTGTCTGCTGCTAATTAAGGAACCCAAAGACTGAATCCAATGCCCTCAAGATGCCTCTTGCTACGGCAAAATGACTCCTTGTCTTAAGAATTCCCATAATGGCCAGAACATATTTTGCTGTCATTATGAAGAAGCCAAATTACCAGGGTCCAGTGAAGGGTGACTAGCATTTCAGGCTTGGACTAGACACATTTTAACAGTCTCTTCTATTCATCTTTGGTTAAAGTCATCATTAGTTCATCTTCTTTCCTTTTTCCAAAGTGATCAGAATCATCCTACCCACTCCAGGACACCCCATCTTCTGCTATTTTCTCTTCTATTTCCCCCTCAGCCATAACCAGGTCCCCTCAACAGCTAATCTTTGATGACGTAAAATTCACAATTTTCTCTTTAACACTTTCACAACACGTCTACAAAAATACTCTCATTTCCACGACTCCTTTTATGTAGCTCAGGAAGGCAACGGTGGACTGAGGAGTGTAGAAGTGAGATTAATTATCAAAGGGATGGGATGAGTGGTCTGCCATATGAAGAAAGTTTTACATATTTGGCAAAGGAACACAGTTTATATATAATCAAAGCATACTTTTTAAATCATTAAAACCATAGTTCTTATACAAAAGAAAGTGAGGACATGTAGTAGTTTCTTTTAACTCATTCATGAAGAAAATGGCAGAATGACAATGGCAGGTTGATGAAGATGTAAGAAATTAGGATTTATGTAATCTGTGTGCGACAGTGGGAGGGAAAGCTATAGATTTGAGCAAGAATTCCACTAATCAGTGCTCTCCAATGGCTTTGCATCATTTATGATTTAAGCTTAGTACCCTCTTGCTGATATTGATGGCCCTGTATAATATACCCAGGCTTTTTTACATGGCGCCCCTTCTAGGGTCTTATATTTTTACTAGAGGCCTGATGAATGAAAATTCATTTAAGAGTAGGCCTTCCTTCCCCCAGCTGCCAGCACTGACTTCCCTCCAGCCCTGGCTTCATCAGAAAGGATGTCTGGAATGACGTCTGGTCTAATTAGCATCTTACCCTTTTATTATTACAGATACGGTGAGGTTCACCACCTTTAGGAATTCTTTCACTCTAAAGTGTTTGCTTATTAAATACCACATTGTCCCAAAATATTTTTCATATTTGTCCCAAAAGACTTCATAACTTCCCAAATGAATAGAATCTTTCTGTCTTTATGGGTATGACTAGTTCCTGTATTTTAGATGTTGCCTTATTACACGTTTAGTGATTATACATTTATTGAGAAGAAAGCCTGTATGTATTCATTCTGTGTACCATGCAATGCCTAATTGCTGTGCCTTGTGCATAATATTAACTTGATAAACATTTATTAATTTAAAAATTGCTACTCAGACCTTCCCTCAGCATATTTCTCGGTGCTCTTCCAAAGACAGAATTCAAGACAGCATCGTAACTTTAACTCAGTTTGCAATTCAGTATGTTCTGATGCTAGTAAATATTTATTGACCCTATTAATTACCGTGAAGATAAATGAGCCAAGAATCAAGTATATAAAGTGGTGCTACTGCCATTTGCTTATGTTTCAGATAAAGCTTTGCTGCTTTCAGGTAGTTATTTGATTTACTCATTTTTGGTAAATCAAATGTATATTTCTGATTTTCTTACAGATCTGTTTATAATGTGTTAATAATTAATTGTAAACTATGTCACTTATGCTCTATCTACATGTGAGCAGGCTAAACCACTTTTTAATCACTTCAAGTACTTATAGCAATCACAAATTATCTACCTTATTCACATGCCCTAAATTATAATGATATAATTATTAAATTATATAGGAAGAATTATTATGGATTTAATCTTTCACTTAATAATTTTAATGTAAGATATTCTCGCTTAATTGAGAAATCATGTATATATATAACATCTGTTATGAGATATTTGCATATGATGTATTTGTATGCATAATGCAGAGGAACAGGACAGCCATTCACCAGAGCTTATCCTTCTAGCTCCTGAGAGCCAGTTGTGCTCATCTCTCCCAACTATGAGTTTATTGTCCTCATATTGGTAGCTTGAAACCCACCATGCACGATTTAAAACATGGAAATTGCCTAATTCTACAAGTCAGATTTTTTTTGGCCCTGGAGAGCCAATTATTACACTTTTATTGGCACACCCCTGTGTTTTTGTATGTGTGCAGGCACAAGATGTACATTTGCAGAAAGTCATGCTGGAAAGAAAAAGCAACTATGCGAAAAGTCAGATTTCTTGCATTATTCATTATTCATTATCTGCATATCATAATTTATTTTATAGTTAGCTAAGATGAAGTAATATTACAACATAGACTACCTTAATGCTTAGTCCTGTCAACACTGGGAACTCAGCAGCAAGTGAATAAGTTAATACAGTTTTGCAGGGACAGAATGTTTCTGAAACCCAAAACCATGTTTTAATGATGTGTTTAAAATATAAATAGGAAGTGAACTGTGCATTTGCAGAAAATACATAAGTTTGAAATTTATTTATGGAATTGTTGTATATCAATAAGAAATACATCTAAATTTCAGATACATTTCTAAATAAATAATTGTACTCCCTTCTACTATCTGATTCCACTTGCATAGTGATTTATTTTCAAGAATAGCATGGCTGCTTGCTTTCTGAATTGATTTGTAAAGACTGCTGAGGGAATTTCAGCTCATGAATAGAAATTAATTTTCTTCTGGAAGCATTTGTCATAGAATGTTAGAGCTAGAACAAATAAAAGAGGTCATCTAATCTAAAAACTCTGCTCACCACCTCCATTCCACCTGAAATATAAACCAGCCAGAATTACCAATGACTCACGAATGTACTAATACTGAGTAGGATGGATAGAGCTTTAGCAGAAAATCTCTAATTGAAGATAAAGCTCCACAGATCATTATAATCTACTGGAGGCCCAGTGCACAAAATTCATGCACCGGATGGGGTGGGTGGGGGAGGTCCCTCAGCCCAGCCTGCACCCTCTCAGGATCCCTCAGGGGATGTCTGACTGCTAGTTTAGATCTGATCACGCAGGGATCCATGAGGGATTGGGCCTCAATCGGCAGTTGGACATCCCTCTTGCAATCTGGAACTGCTGACTCCTAACCATTTGCCTGCCTGTTTGATAGCCCCTAACCACTCACCTGCCTGCCTGCCTGATTGCCTCTCACCACTTGCCTGCCTGCCTGATCACCCCAACCACTCTGCCTGCTTGCCTCATTGCTCCTAACTGCTCAACTGCCTGCCTAATTTCCCCTAACCACTCACCGGCCTGCCTGATCATCCCTAACTGCTCGCCTGCCTACCTGATTGCCCCTAACTGCGTCTGCCTCGGCCCCTGCTGCTGCAGCTTCATCCAGAAGGTCATCTGGAAGAATGTCTGGAAGGTCATCTAGCTGTCTGGTCTAATTAGCATATTATGCTTTTATTATTATAGATAACCTCTCCTCCAACTATATTCCACACACTGTGGAAGTGTGTTCTTCCGAATTAGAGTCACTGTTGTAGTACAAAAATATTAATTGTTTTTCTTAAAAAATCTCAGCCTC